AAGATCAGGTTTAAGAGCCCTTGCGAACACCACCTGCACGAACAGGCAGAACCACGTAGGAGTGCTGCGAGAAGCCCTGGGCACCTCAGCCACCGCGCTGCCGGGGCTGCAGCAGCTGCCGGAGCTGCGCAGGGGCCCCGGGGGACTGCCGAGAATGAAGGCAATAATAGCACTCATTTATCTTCGGGATGTCACCCTGATAGCACGCTGCTGGCACGGCACCAGCACGCACTGGGTAGCTGCTGTGCTTGCTGGCTGGTACGCGATGGGAAAGGGCAGCTGGCACAGGGTCCCTCTGCATGTTTCCCTGTGGATCAGATGCCTTTTGAAGAATTATAACCTTACTTCATCTCAAAACATTGGGAGCTTTGCGTTGGTTTCTTTTTTTTCATGCGTTTATTCTCCTGCGGGGAGAAGCGGGCTCTTACACAGCCCTGTTAAGAGCACACACTTCATCCAGCTCAGCCAGGTATTTCTTCTTGTTCAGTTTTAATTTACCTGAGACAGGAGGAGTTCACCATTTCTCTTGGCATTCAGGATTGCTCTCCCATCACCCACTCATCTTTCCCTCCCAAATCGCCTGACAGTTGTCCCAAATTTCCTGCCCACTTCAGGCTGATGCCCCTCCAACCCTTTGGTGCCCAGCAAAGGCTTCTCCCAGGAACCAGTCATCCCACCCCTCCCCAGCACCTGGCCACCAAGAAGTCCAAGGCTTTGTCAGGTATTTGCCCAAATTCCCTCTTTGCACATGGGACCTGCCAGCCCAGTGAAACCGCGGCTGGGATGAACCTTCACTCGCTCGTGATGCTCCTCCAGGAGCTTCTCAAAGTGACAGGTTTGGTGTCTGTTAATCAGCTCCGCTTTCTCCGATGGGCGCCGAGGAGCAGTTTGCTTTCGCAGGCTGTCACGTCTCAATTAGCTCTGTACCTTCGGTGGGGGAGTGCGTGACATGGGGCTACGGGGTCTCCACAGCTTTGTAGCTTTAGCATGGAAAGGTAAATAAATCTGCTTCGAGCTGCCCCTGCCCTGTGAGGGACTGGCCCTAGACCAGGGACACGGAGCGGTGGGCACCACAAGGACCCCCAAGATGAAGGCAGAGGTCTCTCCTCATCCTGACTACCCGAACAGAAAGGCAATTCAAAAGAGGCAAGGCTCAGCAGAGACCTGCCCGGACCGTGTCTAATGACAGCCCTTAATTGCAGCCCTGTTAACGAGATGCTGAAGACAGGCAGGTCTAAACCTTGCTCCGCCACAGATTTTAGTGCTTTCTGCAGAGCTGCCTGACAAAAGAGCCTCTGCCCTGGAGACCAGTGTTTAAAAGAAAACCAAATACCGAGAGGACCTATAAATTCCTCACCTCCCGCTGCTGGAGCAGAGCCCCAATTGCTCATCCAGCAGCAGCTTGTTCCAGCTCTCAGCTCATCCCTCCAGCAGCCCCATCCTCCCTGCTTCCCGGAGTGCTGAACCCCTCTGCGCCTCCCTCTCCATCACCAGGAACGGGCTCCTACCATCACCCCAGGAGCTCGGACGGCCCCATGGCTCTGAGCCAGGGGCAGAAAACAAGCGGGCAGAGCTGGAGGAAAGCCACGGGCTGTGTGCTGCAAGGCGAGCGCGGGGAAGGAGAACAAATTTAGCCCTGACTTATCCAGGATAAATTTGCCATCTTCCGAGTGGCGCTTATCGGGGGAGTGCACCAGGTTTGTGTAGCTCCCGGTTAACGGAGAGGGTTGGACTGCTGCTCAGTGGCCCATCTTCTCCCAGAAGGGAGTACCCGAGCTGGGGCTTCGCCCATCGCCTGCTTCCAATGTGGTACCCATGGAGGTTTTGCAGCTGTGGCTGTGAAGGTGGGACCAGGCCGATCACTAATTACTGCAGCTCGTAATCAGTGAGAGGTATCATTAAAGTTTCTGTGCCCAGGAAGCTCCAGCTAAACTGTCCTGACATTTTGATGCCAATTACTGAAATGCCCGCATTAGAAATTGCTATAATTGATAAGGCAGGTCAGCAAGTGTTAACAAAGCTGAAATTTAGACAAAAATGGAAATGAAAGTTTGTGAAAACACGATCCATTTTTCCTCTCGCTCTAATAGTTGGATACAACTATCTGTGATTTACAGCTGTTTTTTCAAATACAGATGCTGGGGAAGAAGTGAGTTCCACTTGGAGGTATGTGCTCTGCAGAGAGAGGAGCAGACAGGAGCGCTCTGCCTTGGCTTTCTCCTCCGCCGCGGCAACGGGGCTGCAGCCAAAGGCGCTGCTGGGACTCTGCTGGAGGCCTTGATGGTGGCTTTCCCAGCTGTTCCTTACCCGCTTCCTCCTCACGATGGTAATGCCCAAAAAATATTGGAAGGAGGTAGGTAAAAAGAACCATTCAGAGAAACTTCATCTGAGCTGCATAGTGAAATTCCTGAAGTACAGATGTAACCTGTTACCGTTTTACCTCTCTGCCTCTATTTCCCCTCTTACACAAGAAGAGGATGGTTTTGTCTAGCCCCAGATTGGATGCCACCTTCAACGAGGACACCACCACCCCATCATTAATTCGGGGAGAACTCAGTTTGATGGGTGACAGCCCATTGCTTTTACAGAAGGAGAGACCGAGAGGCACACGGGCACAAAACACTGGTGCTCTCTGATAGCCATTAACGAGTAAAAGCCGTTTTCTTCCTCCATGGCCTTTCCCTCCCGGCAGTTCTGGCTCAGCCATCCCTTTAGCCGCTCCGTGAATGTGCACCCCTGAGTCCTCAGACACCGCGGTGGGAAGGACCCCGGGTTAGGAGTGAGCTCTGTCGGCACCATCGCTGATTTGCTACTTGTCTTATTTAAGTCATTTATTACAAGAGAATTGCCAGAAGGCACCTGACCTTGAAGCACTGCAAAATAAATAAAGACCCAAAGGGAGGTGTACTCGCCTGGCCCCGTTGGCTCAGCAGCAAACCCCGAGTGGGGGGAGACAGCACAAACCCTGCCAGACTCGCAGCCCCGGCGCAGGACTCCCATGTGGTGACCCCTGGTGGGACATGGCCATGCCCATCGCCACCTCCCATGGGGCTTTTGGCAGTGGCATCTCCCCGTCACCCCGGCAAGGGCCAGCTCTGGAGCTGCCGGCACGGCTGCGGGGCTCTTTCCAGAGCTGAGCCTCAACTCACCCACCTTTGATGAGCTCCGCTCCCCGGGGCTGTGCGGAGGAGCAGGTCCGGCTTCTCCCGGCTTCGCTGGGGCTCGCACACCTTGCAGCTTCCCAGGGCTGGCACTGTACCTCTGTTCTCGCAGCCGAGTTTTCCCTCCCCATCTCCCCTTGCCTGCTGTGCGCGGCGTTTGATTTGTGATGGATTAATATGGGATCTCTGAGCGCAGCCGTTCCCCCCCACCCCCTCCCTGGCAGCGGTTTCCTCTCATGATTCACAACTGGAGCTGCACAAACCCTGTGAGTCCAGTTTATTCCAGCATTGGTAAGCCGTTTGGGTCAGCCCTGTCTTACGGCTGTTGCGGTTCACCCTAAAAGCCAAACGCAGAGGACAGGAGCGAAGGGACCATGTGCTGCCCTTCCCCATCCACCCCTCGCCCCTGCCTCCCCTCCCACTGGTGGGATGCATCCCACCCACGCCGCGGCATCCCACATGGAAGTGCGCACGTGGTGCAGGCGTTGCTTGGAGGGTTTTCAGGAATTGTATAAGGGTTCAGCTTTCGATGCACAGCGTTTGGTGCGGAGCACCAGGCTGAGCCCACTTTCTGTGAGGCATCCAGCAGAGATGCTGCGTTTTGCATCCCACGTGCCGGCACGGACCAGGTAGGGCAGGACCAAGCCAGTGCCCACAGCCCACCCAAGTCCAGGAGGACAGGATAGGTCCCATCCCCACCCAGCTCACCCCGAGGTGTGTGGTGCAAGGGAAAACAGCCAGGGCGGATTTTTTTCCTCCCACGAACCAGCCAAGGAGCAGATGGAGCGGGAAATCCCTCCTCTCAATTCCTGCTAGACTAACATTTTACCTGCAAAATTGAGGTAGGAGGCTTTTAAATGACTTGTAGGTGGATCTGGTTCTTGAAACACTTCTGTTTTACAACAAGTCTTCGCTGTTTGAAGGAGGCGGGTGTAACAGCAAACAAGGAAACAGTTAACTACAGCCTTGGGGTTGTGCTCGCCCCCCCCTCCCCGGCTGCTGTAACGTAGGGATTCGGGGGTCGCAGTCACAAATTTACCATTAAACCACATGCCCGTTTCATCCGTTTCGAGGGTGGGTTTTCTTTAAAGCTTTCATCCTGGCAGAGATGTTTGAGGAGCTAAAAATAGGCAGCAAAGTCACGTGAAAACCTCCGGATGTGAGAAATCACATAAAAGATACGAGCGTGAGTCCCTGTTTCCTTGGAAATAATAGTAGTAGTAATTCTTGAAGGCGAGGTTGGAATAGCGAGGTCTGAAACTGGCCCGTTGTTCTCCGAAACCTGCTGTGCGCAGCCGGGGCAGGGTAAAACCCAGGTGCCAAGAGAACGAAGTGCCCCAGTGCGCAGTGCTCTGGGGGTGAGGATCTGGCCCATCCCTGCTCCCCTGGGAGAAAAGCCCTCCCTCGCAGAGCTCCGGAGAACGAGCCGGTGCCGGAGGTTTCCATGTGTGCAGGATCGGACCCAGAGCCGCTGCACAGAGGGGATGGGAGAGCTCGGGCAGAGGGGATGGCACAAAGTTCTCCAGACCTCCGGCACCGGCTGGAGAAATTGCGGTTGAGGGTTTCAGTTTGGGATGAGCCCAAAGGAAACCCCTCAGTCACTGCATCCCGAAACTTTGGGTCTGGCTCCGGATGTAAACTCAGACCTGCAGCCGGCGCTGGGTGGGAGGGCTGGCTTCAAGCCTGGGACTTGGACACCTCTGGGAAGATTTCAGGATTGGGAGGCAAGTCTGGGGCACGAGCCATCCCTGGTGGGAGCCAGTGAGTTAAATGGCAGCAGTGAAGGGCTCTCACCCATCCGCGTGGAAATTGCTTACATTTAAATTTTAACATCCCTACCTTGAGCACTTGAAGGCGCTGAGCACACTTAACTCCAGCCCATCCCCGGGGACCTGGGCGATGCTGAGCATCGTGAAGAGCAACATGGCGACCTGCAGGATGAGACAACCGGTTTCCTTACAGCCACCGCGGGGTGCAGACACCGAGCCACCCCCCAGCCGCGGGAGCTGCCACGGGGGATACAGCAGTGACACTACAGCAAACTACGGCCCCGGGTCCTGCACCCATCCACACCTCGCGCTCCGTCTTCTGTTCCTCCATTGCCAGCTTGAGCTGCACGCCACCTCCTAGAAATCCTTTCTAAATGAGCACCAGCATTTAATTTATTTCAAAAAGACTCACTGCTTTGCCTTTACAGGGTTTGCACAGGAAGCACGGGTGAAGACCAGTATTAGGATACTGAAGCCAAATGTTCACCAGTTAGTAAATGCCAGAAATAAGGTTTCATAACCTATCCTGCCAAGTCAAAGCTTTGCACTAAAAGACAGCAGTACTCAAACTTTCCACTAAATCAGTTCCCAATGCCGAGCACGTTACTGGGCAGCACTGTTAGTCACCTATAGACATAAGAGCAGATATGGTTAAAATCCTTTCACTGCTGTGATTGCAAAAGAGTATACTGGCAGTGAAAAAAATGCCAATTTTTTCCAATTTTTGAGCTGGAAATTTTGCTTCCACGGGCTAGAGAAATATCACGCTTTTTCTCGCTCCTCTCTTTTCCTATTGCTGCCATCACAACCGTCTTCACATTCCTTCTGCCAGAAAACAGGGATGAAAGCAAGAGGAGCCGAGGAGGCACTGGCTGTGCGCACTCTGTGGGTTGCACGTGGGGTCCCCATCCCCGCACAACTGTGGATCCATCGTGTCGGAGTCTCAGCTGGGATGCGTGAGGCCAGGCACCCCCACCTACACCCCAGGTTATTCCTTCGAGCACTCAGCCTGGGCAGGTGGTACCCAGCGCTTGGCAGGGCTGGCAGACAGGATGCTGCAGAGCCCGCTCTCCTAAATTTTATCCTCAGGCTCACCACAAAGACCCCAAAATCTGCCACGAGCATGGATTTTGCTGAAATAATCATCGTGCCTGATGCTCCAGCAGTCCACCACGGCCTGTCCGTCGCTCCGTTTGCCAGATGCCTACATGAGGTTTTGTTCTGGATGACCAGAAACCGAATTAGGCTGCATCCAAAGAGACGATGCAACGTTGCTAGGCAATTACGGCTGGCTGAAAGAAGCTGACAGTCATAGCGAGTTACTGATCTGTGCAGGATGCGGCGATAAGGTTATCTAATTCTGCATATGGAACTTGTGCGTGTTTGTGCCAAATATGACTCCAGCCTCTCAGGTCAAGAGGGCTTTGGCTCAACTTTGAAACCGATGGAGCTCAGGAGCGGGGTGGGATGGGGATGCTGGCAGGGCCATCGAGCAGCACTCGCGAGGAGAAACAAATTAAGGGACAAGAGAGACTCCAAAAATCAGATGCTGCTGCTAAGTTAAAAAAAGAAAAAATAAACCTCCACCTTTGATGTAAGGTGAATCGCTTTTCTGGCAGGGAAAATGGCTTTTTCTCCCCTCAAAGCAGCGCTATTTGAACAAAATCTTTCTTCTGCCCAACAGCAGATGCCACCCGCGACCGGGGATGGGCCGTTGTGATGCCTTTCCCCAAATGGCCAGTCGTCCTCAAATGGCTGTGCCGGTGCTGCATCTCACAGCAGCGCGGCTGGACGGCCACCATCCCTGTCCCCCACACTGCCGGCAGGCACTGGGAGATGCGACAGGTTAATTAGCACTTACTCATTAGGGCTGGTGCCAGAGGCCTTTGCAGAGAACAGCAGGGGAATGAAAGCAGCTGCAGGAACGGTCAGGGCTGGAAGAGGAAAAGGCAGGAGGGGACCGAGCCAGGGGGGATTCCAGCTGGGATTCGAGGGAGCGCTCCTTCGAATTCTACCTTTTGCTAACAAAATGAGACTATCCAAAAAAAAAAAATGAACTTTGAGGCTTTGATAAACACACCTGCTTTAGATCAGGCTAGTCGGGGACGGCACAAAACTTCACCCTGGAATCCAGCTGGTACGAGACACTGGAACCAGGCGGAAGAGAGAAGGCTGTTAAGGCAGAGGAGCGGGTAAAGGACATTAAAATGAACTCCTCGGCAAGCTGCGATGCACCGAAGCCTTGGGCACGTGCCTCCCTGCAGGCGTGCAAGCGGTGCGCCTGGTTTTAGTGGGAGTGCTGGTGCTTTCCATTCCCCTGGGGACTGCGGAGACGTCGATTCAACAGGTTCCTCCTGGGCTGGGGCAGTGCCCTGGTCTGAGCGGCCGGCGGTGGCCGTGGCACTGCAGCAAACAGCCTCAGCTCTGAGACCACGCACCAATGCTTGGGGCAAAGGCAAATCCACTCCTAATTCACCACGTCTCACCGTACAGGGCACATCCAGTGTCCTCAGAGACCCCAGCTGCAAGGGCAGGAAAATTGATACACGCATATTTTTAAACACGCATATTTTTAAGCAATATGTACCTCATTTCGTGCACTTTTTGGGTGGAGAAATTTTGACACCGATGCCTGGGAGAGGATGCAAAGCGCTGCCTTAGCACCATCTGAACAGCTAAAATGTGTTCCTTTGCCAAGATAGCGCAAGAGCAAGCTCTTGAGCATCCCACCAGCGAGCGAGCGTGCCCACGCGGCACTAAAGCGTTTGGGGGAGCTGCGCAGCACCTCGCTTCTTGCTCCAGACCTCGGGCTGAGCGAGAGGCCTCCAACTGCTGAGGAAGGAGGAATGTGCCGCTCGCTGCCTTGCAGGATCCTGGCTTATAATAGCAATTGGCGCAGAGTCATCCTTATCAGCTAGCACATTAATCTTAATTAACAGATCGACAGCAACAGTTCCTCCCTGCAGCTCCCCTGAGCTTTCACAGCCTTTGCTGCGCCACCGCTTCAGCATCAGCGCCGTTCCCGCTGCGGGGAAGAAGGCCAAATCCTGCAAGGAACTGGAGCAGCCAGGCTGGCTCCAGCCCTCCAACCGCTCTCCCGGGAAGCCCCGCGGTACCCAGCCAGGAGCCCAGCAGCATATCCCCCCCCCAAGCTGGGACCAGGACCAGCAACATCCTCTCCATCTTACAGCCCAAGGTCCCAGATTTGGCTGTGATGTAGCACCCACCGTCCCCGAGATGCCCCACCTCCTTCGTCCGGGTCAGGCCCTGGAGAGGAAGGGTTTCCCTCCTGAATGTCCGCATGTTGCTTGAAAGGAGGATTATTTATATTTTTTTTTTTTTTTAAAAAAAAAGCAAACCCCAACCAGCTTATCTGTGAAAATGTGGTGAGTTCGCTCAAAATCAAACCCGAACAGTGGGGCCCCTCTTGCCTTCTGCTCCCTGCTGCTGGAAAATCAGTGCTGACTGTCCCAGGATCGATTCACCCCCTTGTGCCTAAAGCTGATCTGCTCTTCATGCACGAATAACGCTCACGGCTGAAAGCTCCAGCGAGCAGGACCCAGGCTTGCACGGGACCATGGACCCCAGGTCCCTGCCAATCGCTGGGGTCAGGGGACGCGTGTGGACCCCGGACCGGGGCCATGTGGCAGTACAGCTCCAAGCAAGCCAAAGCCCAAATGGATGAAGACTCTAATTGGGTGCACGTGAGTAAAGGAAAGTGATGAAACTGCTGAGGCTCTGTTGCACATGCGAAAAGTAACCCCTGGCTGCTGCTGTGTGAATTTAGGGCACAGTCATTCCCGCTGGGTAATTAAAGGGCATGGGGGCAGCATCCATCACACCTTGTCTGAGGACTGCCCAGGTCAGATGCGAAGCCAGGACAGGTCAGACCTGGCAGAGCTCAGAGAAGAATGTTTTTTTCCTAGGGAAAAAAAAAAAAAAACAAAACAAAAAAACCACAAAAAACATCACCACAAAAATACCCAATTCCCTTGTCCAGGTCAGCAAATCCCATTGTCTCTGCCCGGACTGGACCCACGCACACAGCAGCTGAAGGAAGTGGTAAAGCAGCACATTTCCCAGAGCAGCGGGATATGTTACCCCCGTTGTGTGTCCCCCAGTGGCCCACGGTTGGGCAGAGGTGGACACTGGCAAGCACAGCTGCAGCAGCCGCCTCGGAGGACCAAAATCACGGCTGTAACAATCAGCAGACTGGAGACTCCTGAATAAACACTGTTAATTCCAGAATGAAGGCATCCCTGGGATAGCACGTGGCCACCCCACATCCCTCACCCCGCTCCCTTCGGATGTCACCACATTAAACCCTCGTGTGTGGCGGCAGCCGGGTTTAGGGATGTGTTGCTTACCAAGGGCAGCCGGGGGGGACTCGTTTGGCCTCCTTGCTTCTTGGCAGAGGGCTGGAGCCAAACTGGGGTGTCAGAAGGATGCCCACGCAACCGGCCGGGTTTGCTGGTGACAGCAGGGGGTTAGGCAGGGCCGTGGGGACAGGCAGAGGAGGCAGTTTCCGTGGAGGGTAACTCGGATCTTGCCATATTGCTTTCAACTCCTCATTATTCCCCTTTTCCGCTTGGCAGCCCAAGGCAAGGCTGGGAAAGCGGAGCCAGAAGAGCGCTGGAAGAGTTTCTTTATGGCACGTTACTTCGGCTCAACACTCAGAAGGCAGCCAGGAGGTACAGCCCGGGGGTGGAGGCTCCAGACCCGCAACGGGGTCCCTGCGGGTTAGGGGAGGATGAGCCAAGAGCGTTAAATTGGAGCCTTAGGCCTGAGATTAAGTTACAGCATCTTAACGAGTTGGCACAAATGAGCAGAGGCACAGAGTCCTCTCTGCCAGGCACAAACCAGCGATGAAGTTCTCCTGCATCCCGGTGCCGGGCTGGGAGCACACCCGGGCAGCGTTGGAGCTCGGCCGCACCGCGGCAGCCTGAACTTACATCAGTGCCCAAGTCCTCGGACAGGGAAGGCTTTTTACGTCACGTTACACCAATTGCTTTACTAAATAAATATGCCTTATTTAATTGTCTTAAATAAGAAAATTTTGCAACTGAACAAGAATTTCATTTTCTTAAAGCGATAACATCGCAGCACAGCTTAAGGGCCAAATATTTTAAAAATATGAACCTGGAGTTCAATTTCTC